TAGACGTCTTACGAAATCCTTAGTAATGTTCTTTTTCTAATCTATTTTCTTTCTCTCTCTTTTGTTCTTTCTTCTCTTATGTCATAAAGATATACCTGACTATACAGAAAAATATCTATTGAAATTATAATAACCCATTTTCGTAATGAGTAATATTGATAATAGTCTACCTATCTAAACATTTCGAGTAATTGCCGCCATTAAAATGTGCATCAATGTAGATCACTCGTGCAACATCACAGGTGCAATCTCGGTCCCCCTCTTTTATTTTTTTCCTTCTCCTTTTCTATTTGTTTTCGTTTTTTTGTCTTCTCTTCTTTCTTCCCTTTCCCGTCTCCTCTCCGTTTCACACTCCCCCTCTCTCCCTCTTCCTCTCTCCCCTCTTACCCTCTTCCTCTTCTCTCTCTCTCTCTCTCTCCTCTCTCTCTCTCTCCTCTCTCTCTCTCTCCACTCCTCTCTCTCCTCACTCCCTCCCTCCCTCTCCTCTCCACTCCCTCTCTCTCTCCTCCCTCTCTCTCTCCCTCCCTCTCTCTCTTCTTTCTTTCTAAAAAAAAAATGCAACTTGCTAGCTTAAATGTCCCCAGAAAAGCCGGCTCCACAATATCGACAGAGCGCCGGCATGAGAGCTCTCCTATACTAAGCGAAACAGGTGTGGTTTGACGCAGGTGTTGTGTCGACATCTGTACGGACACCTGTGAACCAGCTGAATCAACTATAACGAGTGAACCAACACTCGATACAGCTCTCTCAAACCATGCTGTTACTCTTCTTAGCAAGTTTCGAATGGTATGTCTGTCTACCTGTCTGTCTGTTTCTATCGCTAAATACCTTTGTATTTGTTTTCTTTGGTTATATGTTAATATAGTGCTTTTCCTTCTATCTTTCTACCTCTTTGTATGTTTATCTAAATATATATCCGATTGTTTGTTTGTCTGTCTGTTTGTTTGTCTGCCTGTTTGGTTGTTTTAGCGATTGTCTTGTCCTTTGTCGATCGGTTGACAGTTAGAATTGATATTAAAGAAGTACCGTTTACCTTTTAAACGTGAAATACTAACCACGTGGGAATATGGACGGTTCAAACTCACTCTCTCTCTCTCTCTCTCTCTCTCTCACACACACACACACACACACACACACACACACACACACACACACACACACACACACACACACACACACACACACACACACACACATACACACACACACACACACACACACACACACACACACACACACACACACACACACACACACACACACACACACACACACACACACACACACACATACACACACACACCAGACATACACACGCCCACACTAACATCATAACTAGTCGAAGAACATTTAAATAAAAAGTACTTGATGATACGTAGTAAAACTTTTCAATGACCTTAACACTGTGCGCGTATATTAGGCCTCAGTGTGCCCTTACAAGAACTCTAGAAAAAATGCCAACTGTGGTTCTGTTATTTAACACACTACTACAAGAGGGTGTTTGTGAGGGAGGGGGAGGAGGGGGAGGGGGGAGGAGGAGGAGGGGGTGGAGGAGGACATGGAGGAAGTGGAGGAAGAGGAGGGAGGGATAGAGAAGGAGGGAGAGAGGGAGGGAGGGAGGAAGGGAGGGAAGGAGGGGAGAGAGAGAGAGAGAGAGAGAGAGAGAGAGAAAGAAAAAATATATGATTTGAGGAAGAGGAGGAGAAAAAGACGAAGGAGGAGGAGGAGAAGAAAGCGAAGGAGAAGGAGAACGATAAGGGGAAGGAGGAAAACGAGAAGAAGGAGGAGGAGGAGAAGAGAGAGAAGGCGAAAAAGGGCATACAGGAAAGACCAGAATAGTTCCGCCTTACATAAACATAATATGTTACATAAACATACCCTATAAACAAACGTGACACAGTCCTCCATCTCCACTATTCTCCATAACACCTTCCAAAATCGAACACAAGTATAATTCTATCCTTTTGTGCGAGAAAAGTCATTTGAATATCCTCTCGAAAGCGACACTGACTAAAGATATTTTGAAACTGATAGTTAGGAACCGGATGCTTGAGAAACGTTCATTGATACCAGAGGAAATGTTTTTTTTTTTTCTTCTTTTGTCGTAGATATATTTCAGAGGATAACTATTTTGGTATTGGAGAGAGAGAAAGATAAGGATATATATTGTTTCCCTTGCCAGTCTTTTAGTAGGTAGAGCATAGCAACAGCGGATCCTACATATGTATCAAAAATGTTTTCTTGTTGTTTCGAACAAACACAACATAAAAATATCTCAGCCCACTCTCCTCCCTTTTTTCCAAATCATGAAAAAAGCAAGATTACGATGCAAATTATGTACAGCGCTCGTAGTACAGTTCAAACGGCTACAGATGCCGGCTCTCAGCTGGAGCCCGTTTTCTTCTTCGCTAAGACCGGGTAAACTTTAAGAAATCATTGTTGCATGGGGATGTCTTTATTATTCCGCAATACACATTTGCGTATTGGATACATTGCAACC